CTTCCAGTTGAATTTCAACATGGAGCCTATGTAACCATTTCCAACGTGTTAATAACTACTACAAATATCGATTATTAGTTGCTTCAAGTATAATTTATTTCAAAATATCAATTAACGCTCATAATTTGAAGTAAAACTAGGATAATTAATGAGATCTCAACTTTACAAATCCAATAGTTAAGTTTATAAAGAAGAAGGAACAATTTTCAAAACAATAATTGATAACGATAAGTATATCTCATGTACGCAAATAGACTAGCATTAATACACACATGAGAACATCAGGACCTACTCATAAACACACAATTCTCCAACCAATCATCGCAAGGATACACCATTTTATAAATGGCGTATACTGACGCATTGGCAGTGATGAATCCTTCCTAAGAATAGTATACTAACCTCTAACCTCGATGCCCGGGAGTGAATAGTGTGAATTTTTGAACTTCGCAAGGAACCAAACAATTCCACTATGATTGATAGAAAATTTTAAAACTCCTAAAGGTAAGAAACACATCTATACATTCTACAATATTCGGTCGAAGGTAACCCGCGTTTATCACACCAACCAATACAAATAGATAATTTTCATCACATCCACAAAAAAAATCACGAATCACGGTTCTACAATTGTCAAAATAGAATAATTTCAAGAAAACATGCCAGAGATCGCCAAGAAATATCTTTGAATTGATAATAATCAAGAGCTAGGCTTTTTGACGTCAAGAACATTGGATTTGAATTGTAAAACATGTAATTCTTCCAAGAAAGCAATCATATTATCATAAAGAGTATAAAAACATTTTATATCTATCATATATAATCAAATAGAAGACAAAACATACGCATAAGTAATCCTAATCCTCAATAACTAAACTTGAGAAAGAACCCTACCTTTTCCTCTACGATCTAGTTTTTCCTCCTCATTTAACCCTCTGTTGGCTTTTTAGGGTTTAAAGTTGTTGAAATTGGACCTAAAGAATGTCTTTAGGGTATTTATATGGTCAAAATCTAAACAATCGTCTTGTCCCTAATCGTTGTAAAAATGACACTCACGTTTGAATGTGGTTAAGGGAACCTAAAATTCATTCCCCAAGGCAAACTAATCTTTGAACTATAAAAGGAGATTAGGGGGACATAAGAAAGGTACACAACTCTTATTCCAAAAGTCACTATCTACCTTGTTCAATAGAATATTAACTTAAGCATCGTAGGGTCGACCCCTGGAGCTCCTCCCTCTAGTCTTTAACTTTTTTTCAGGTTTTCAAAGCTCTGCCAACTGACGTGGACCCTTGAAGAGCTATCATGGAAGTCAATAGAGTTCACAAATTTGCACTAACATAACTCAATTATGCTCACACATAAAAAAACTTTGCTCTTTTACAACTTGGCTTAACTCTCAAAGCTCATCAACTCATATAGCTCACATAGCTCTACTTATCTTGTTTGTTCCTCGAGCCAATTTAGATCGGGAAGCCTAGGTCACCAAAAGGTGCATATGCATCATAAGGTTGAGAATCGGGGACATCCAAAATCATGTCGCCTAGCTCAAAAATGAGCAAAAGAAACTTGGGATCTCTAGCTCACTAGTGCAAGACCTAGCATCACCTAGGCTCATTGGGGATTAGTTTGATTAATCCCTGAAGAGTTGAACCCTAAACCAAGGCAAAACCCCATTCATGAAAATAGAGCTAATTAGGTTAAGTGCCTAACACCTTAATCTGAGGTCGAGCTCTACATGCAAAAATAGATATTTATTAGCTTGCCAATAATATAAATCTTAATAGAAAATATTAAATACATGCAAAAATAGATATCTATCAGCTAGCTAATAATATAAATCTTAATAGAAAATATTAAATGCCTAATAGCCTAACTCCAAAAATGAGCACTATAGGCAAAAATAGATATCTAAAAGCTCGTCAATAAATATGAGCTTTGCAAATAAAGTCAAGTGTCTAGCAGCTTAGAGCCGAGCTATAGAGGCAACAATTAATGTCTAATAAAATGTTGAAAAGAAAGATGCCAAACAAAAAAAAAAAACTATGGTGCATGTGCCGCACATTCTAGGTTAGATTGAGGCGGCCACTGATGATGAAAAAACTAGCTGATATAAAGATACACTTTATTGGGTTACTAGCCCAACTTAGTTTATTAAGAGTCCTAACTTGATTAGAAGAGGGACTATGGGATAAATTCAAAAGATGGGAATAATGCACATTCAAATTGATAACAACCTAATCCTAACTAAAGTGATAATGAGGAGGCCAAAGTCCAATCCTAATGCAACTTTATCTCTAAAGCTCCTATAAATATACCTTCGACTAATATTGTAGGTATGCCACTTTTAAATTCTTAAATCATTCAATACCATTGAGTCTCTTACTAACTTAGACTGAAGGTAAATTCTCATAGTTTTCACTCCAATCTTTGATTTTTTTTAGGGTGAGCGAGATCTAATGAGCTGATGTGGAAGTCACCTCAAAATTTGCATCAACAAAACAAATGGGTTATTAAGTAAGGTGGAAAATAGGGTAGATAGAAAAGAGAAGGCAAACAATAGGATGGAAACTACAGTGTGAGAATCATATTGTGACTATTTTATGGCATCGAGAGCGCAATGTAGACAAAATTGGCCTTGTTTGTTTGATAGGTTTACTCGTTTGCAATGGTGGGGTTTGATAAAAACAATCCAATGAGCCATTCTATCCCATGTTTGGTTATAGATTTGAGGCTCGGAATTGGAATCCCGACTTGTAATGGCCTTTTCGGTATGTATATGGGTTCAACAAACCTATGGGGTTTGGTAGGTTTAATCAATTTTATGGCAAATATTTGTAATCAATCGGTGAGCCCCATATGTAACGGCTCCTCATTGATAAAAGAAAGAAGATGAGTTTTTTTTTCTTTTTTGATTACCTTCCTCGCGTATGTCTAAGACTAAATCCATTCGATTTTTAAACAAAATTACTAATCCTTAACTTTTCGAGGAATCCTTCATCAATGGTTGTGAATGACTGATTTCACTCGTCAAACATGAGATTAGATATGATATACTGTTCAATCTCATAAACAAAACTCAACTCAATGGTTGAGTTTAGAAATTTTTCACAAATGCAATTCAATTTCTCTCATAAAAATCATTCAAACAGGGCTTTTATGTTTCCAATAGATCCACCTTAAGTAAAAAATTAAAAAATACAAGATATAACCAATATTCTGTTCAATTTTGGTTAATTAGGATCCTTTCTAATAATACATTACCCCACTTTTATGGAATTCATTGAAATGCAATGTGGTGACCCAGTGGCAATTGTAGAGGTAATGCAATGTGGAAGTTGTGAAGTGGTGGCGATGAAATGAAGTTTAAGGGGTAGAAAGGTATTATTCTCATCCAAACCGGTTAGGCTCCTTCGAAACTGAAACCCACATTCAAGGGGTTAAGCTGCCGGGGCAGGTTGGGGCTGAGAATGCAATCCAACGATCAATTTGTGCATCTGCACAAGGGTATTCGAAAGTGGATTGGATTATTGTTTCCTAACCCCCTTATATACTTGTCCAAACACTCTAAACAAACAGGCCATGGAAGTTGTGAAGTGATGGGTTGGTGTTGCTGTGATGGCAGTGGTATTGTGGTTGAATGGTGATGGGTTTTAATTATGGGCGAATTGCATTTTGTTCCCTAAAAAAATTTAAGATTCTCGCTTTATTTTCTTAAAGCTTAAATTTCTCACATTGTACTTTTAATGTATCAAAAATATTTCAATGTGATAAATTTAATTTTCAAGGATGCAAAGTAAAAATCTTAAAATCTTTTCAGAGTGTAAAGTGCGAAAAATCATTTATTTATTTATTTAAGGGTTACCGGATGGTGAATTTTTTTTTAACGGAATGGAATTGAATCACTAAATTAGTAGATATAAAATGGGGACGAGTGTAAATAAGATAAGCTTAATCATTAATTGAATAATATTAAGGTGAAAATTGATTTAGTAGTTTAATATTAAAAAATTAGTTATTGCTTGTGTCTGAAGGTACGAAGTAATAAAAAAATGATCAATAATAAATATATTTGTATTTACACTTAAAATTAAATCATAAATAAATAAATAAAAAATATATATATATATATATATGAGAGAGATGAATTTAAGTACCGGAGAAATGAATTTAAGTACCGGTTATAGTGAAAGTGACTGGTGGCAGTGGTGGTGGCGATAGAATGGCGGTGATGGTCATGGGGGGGGTGGCGCAATAGAGGTAATTGTGGCAAGGGTGATGGTAAGACAGTGACGGTGGTGGGTGTGGTGGAGGTGGTGCAAGGGTAGAAGTGGTGGTGGTGGTAGGGTGGCGAAAATGGTGGTGGTGGTAGGGTGGCGAAAATGGTGATGACGACAGTGGTGAAAGAATGGTGACAGTGGTGGTGGTGGGGGTAGTGGGAATGGTGGTGGTGCAACGGTAAAGAGGGGTGGTGGTAGGGTGACGATAGTGGTGGTGGTAACAACGGTGATTTATTGTGACAGAGGTGATAGTGGTAGTGGTGATGTTGGGGGTAAGGGTGGGGGTAACGGTGGTGAGGGGATAGTTTGGTGGTGGGGGTGGCGGTGGTAAGGCGGTTTCAAACACTACTTTTTTTTTTTGTTAAAGTATTTATAAGAAATTATAAGTAATAATAAAAATAATTTTAAAAATTTACCCCAAACATACCCTTAGGGTCTGTTTTTCTTATTAAATTTAAAGTGTTAATATTAGTCGTCAAATTAATTTTAAAATAAAAATTATTTTATTTATTTTTTTATATTTAAATTTATTGTATTTTATTAAATAAATTTAATGGGATAGGGACAAAAATTTGTGAGCGTCTGCCATTTTTATTCGGCAAGCTTCCGGAAAGTCTTCTTTTCGTCCAAAAGTATTGGGAAAGCTTCATTTCAAATGCCACTTCCATATATATATATATATATATATATATATTCCTTTGTTTCAAACCCCATCTCTTTCTTCACTGCTTCACTGTTTTTTCTCTGTATCCTAATAGTCTCACTAACATTATTGCTATTTTGCTATTTTTCACTGAGATATTTGGAAAACCAAGACATTATCAACTCCGAATGGGGTTCGAAGACTTGGAACCCATTTTTGGCCAACCCAAGGCAGAGTGGTCAGCTCCAAACTCCACCCCACTGCGCCCATTATTGTTCCATGTTCATGCTCTGGACCCTTCTCGCCTCAGAGTCCTTGTCACTGATTTTCATTCTAACACTTACGAGGCCGTTCGCTCAGTTCAACACCTCGAGGACATGGTGAGCTTTTTCGTTTTAACCTAATTTTAACTTTACATGTATTTTGGATTTTTTTTTTCATGTATGGGCGTGTGTTAGATTTTTCACAATTCATTCAGTCCTGATGTCGCCTCATTTGGTAATCTGATTAGCAAGTTAACCGCTGTAGTCCATAATGAGATTGTTTTTGTTCCTTTATATTCAGTTCGCAGTTCAACTAATTGAGAAAGAACTAGTTTTGTCGAATAATGATCAGCTTAAAACCAGCTGGTGTGCTATTGAGCATTGCCAAAGGAAGAACCCTAATATAAAAAATGAGAAAATGAAGAACACGCCCAAATAAACCCACATAAGCTGTGACGTTGTATTTGGCAGATTTTGAAATTGTTTTTCAAGTTTTGAGTGATTTTTTAAATAGCAGTTGTTTTTCATTATAATAGTAGCTAGACACAAATGTAAGAATGTAGATCAATTTTGAAGAATAATAATCCCATATTGCTTTTTTTTGAATATTTTTTTGTTGCTTAAAAAGTACTTCAAAAAGGCGTTACATAATGGTAATTTAGTGTATGCACATAATGAGTTTGATTGTGTACTACAACATCCTGAGGCCGTTTGTTGAACAGACAAATTTTTTAATTTTTTGGATTTCAGGATGATATATCATATATTCTTTCTGTGAATTGGAAACTGTTTGGCAAAATGCCAAATATAGTCGGTATCTTGAATCACTGATAGAAGCAAATCTCACAAATGAATGATCTTGGAAACATTCCTTTTAAGACTTAGTTATGATTCTTTGGTGATTGTAAATTACTAAATTGTTTTATAAAAAGTATCTCAATCTTAGTCTTGTGTGCAGCGGGATAACATTGGGATCGGGGGCTCGTGGGCTGAGTTTATAGACTACGTCACAAGTTCCTTAAAATCTGGAGATGTCAAGCTTGTTCTGGAGGGGCAGTCAAATTCAGGAGGTGATTGACATTATTGAACTCTTTCCTTTTGTGATCAATCTGAGTTTAGCTGCTCTGTTCTGCTGACCTTTAGTTTTATTTGTACTGTTTTTTTTTCCGCTCGCAGTGATTTGTCCATGTCTTCAATGGCACATTAGTTATGTATTTTTTTCGAGGTAGGCATTGTGAATTTAGACGCATTGGCTTTTAATATCTGAATAGTCCATGGAATAGATGCTTCGTTGTATCTCTAAATAGTAATGCCAAACTCTTCTTTCTTTTCTTTTATTCTTCTTTAGCTGGGTCTAGGTTTTTATAGCGGATTATGGACCATAGACAACCTTAGTCATCTTTTTGTTCTTGCCAAGGTGCCTAAAACTCCTGGAGGTTGAATTCCTTTTGAAGCATTGGATTTGAATCCAACTTGAAATTTTATGCACTTATGCTTTATTCGACATATGTTTGGGGCTGAAAATGGTGATCATGTTGTTTTTCTAGTTTATACGAAATCGCAATCTTGGCTTTGAGAATTGTTGCAACCTTCTTTTATCATTTGCATGATTCATCATAAGCCAAAGTTGTTAGGAACATAGAATTGACTGTCCGAGGAAGAATGAGTTTCTAATTACTCTAGTTTCTCATGTATGATTTCTCAATAAATTGGTTATTTGACTCTTGAAGTTGTGATTGCTGTGATTGGTTGGTAGTGGTAGTGTTGAAATATCAGAGGTGGTTGACAAACTAGTAGTCATTGTGCCATGACAAAGAATTAGAGGTGGCTGAGGTCAAATGCTAATAGGGTCAACAATTGGGGGGCTTTACAACTTTAGCTTGATATTAATGCTGCAAGTGGTGTTGTGGTTATAGTGGTTGTGTTGGAGGCGACTGTGGCTTGCTCTACTGGTTGTGTCTGATTACTTAGGGTGATTGAGTGGTCATGATGACTGGTTCAAACAGTTATCAAATTTCTTGGGGGTGGAGGTCAGATTTTATGTGGTATGATAGTTGGGTGGGAATTGGGATTGGGTACTGGCCTTTTTGATTGAGGTAACCATGATGATGGTTGGCTGACAATGAAAACTAAGAAGCATGGATACATATACAACACGACACAGACACGTTGATATGACATTTCTAAAAAAAATAGGACACGAACACGTTGAGAGACACGCTATAGGAATTGTGTTTTATATATAAAATTGCGTAACTTATTACAAACATAGTGATAATGATATATTATTCATAAAAAAATCAGTATTTTATGTTAAGTAAATGTTATGTCTAGTCATCTACTATGAATTGTTAGACTAACATCATAATGGTCAATAACTAGATCACCTAGAGCGGGAGTGAGAGCAAAAAAATTCAAAACAAGTTGAGAGCAAGAGCGTCAAATTTATATATATGGAATTGTAATACACACAGGAAAAGAGGACATCAACGTGCCAAAGTGACAAGGATAATAAACTTTTAGAGCAAATTGTCCATCCCACATCCATTACGTATCAGTAAAATGAATAGGAAGGCACCGGTAAGTAGCACAGGTGTAAGCTTTGGTGGCTAGAAATGGGGGCCAAATACTTTAGAATATTAGAAGACTTTGCTTGGGCCAAGGTCCAGCTCATTAATTAGTTTAATTTTTTTTGGTGTGGATTTGGCCTTAAAAGGGCCCAATATGTGGACTGCAAATATTGAGTTCGAGGAATCTGCGGATTTGTGCCAAATGCACTCTAAATTCACGGATTTGCGTTTGGAGTGCAAGTTTGCTAAGGTGTATGGGCAAATTATGTGATCCAAGTCAATTATCATCAATTTTTACTTAAATTTGTTCTAAACATATATAATTTAAATGATTTCTCTCATTTTCTTATTTACTCTTTTTCTAAATCTTTTATGTGTTTTTTACTTTTGTTATTATATTTTGACCAGACTTGGTTATTATATGTTCTTCCATAGTATAAGATATTTAGTAGTCAAATTTTTAAGCTTTGTTCATCATCACATATTAACAAATATTTATTGTTTATTAGTAGATACGGTCTAAAAAAATTTTGTACAAGTCACCAAAAAAGTGTAGGACGCATGTCCGTAATTAAAATTTTATCATTTAATTATAGACATGAATAAAAGAGTATTGGACACGTGTCAGAGAGCTTCCGAGAAGTGTTGGTGTTTGACATGTGTTCAACATGGATACATCACTTTCTTCATAGTGTCCGTGCTTCATATAGTGAAAGTAATTGTTGCCTCGGTGGTAGCATGACAATGACAATGAAGTGGCAATGTTCACTACTTAATATGTTGGTGGCTTGTGGTATCAGAGCTTGTGATGTCAATGATTGTAGATCCAGCTGTGTTGGTGATCGTTATTCATACATAGTTTACCTAGTGGTGCTGTGGGGGTTACAGAATTTCCGAAGTGGAGTGAGATGTCTGGTGATGCCATGGTGGTTACAGCAATCTATTTGGTGGTTCCTCTTATGGAAGCTGGTGTCACACTGGGTTAATAACGGCTTTTTTGAGGCTGTTATGGTGCTAATTAAATACCAAGGTGGTGAAAAGTTGGCTGAGCAGTAGCAGGTGCTTTCAATTGTATTAGAGGCTGGATAAGGTGGATGGTATTTGGAGGTAGTGGCAGCCGTAGTCTGACCATGCATTTTGAATCACTTAAACTGTTGGTTAAACATCGAAGTAAAAAACCAAAATCTAAATTCCACCTCCAAATGCACCTTTTATTCAGTGTGGATATGCTGGTGTTTTTTTATCTTGTCCATCCTTCTTTGCTGCATGATCTTTGCTATGTCCTTTATTGGTTCTCATCGAGTTATCTGGGTTCAGAACTTTTAAATTTTATCTGATGCATGTGCCATACATGCTTTTGTATTTCAGGTGCTGCACATGCAAAATTAATTGCTCAGAAATCCAAAGGAATGCCACTGATTTCTATTTCTCTTGCTAAACTTCTGGATGCTACTTCTATTGAGGCCATTGCCAATTTTTCACTGGAGCTCTATAAAGCATTCAAAAGCATCCATAGTTCACTAGTAAATGGTTGTATTCTCGTCTAGGCCTTTTGTCCTTGTCTTTCTCGAGTTACAGGATGATTGTATGCTGAGCTTTTGACTATGGTACTTTATTTTGGGCTGCTGTTATTGTCAGACCATGATATTGATCTCAAAACTATGACACATATATAAAAAAAAAAAAAAATTTAAGTTTAATGGTCTTCGTGACAGTTATCTTCCCGGGCATATAATTTTTGTCATAATTTGTTAGTCTATTGAGACTGTTTTAGTGATGGTGGTTACCATGATAATCTTTCTCCCTATTGACAACTTTCCTCAAACATCTGATGGGGACTGTTGTTGATGGTAGGTTACTTCATTTGTTTTCCACTTAAACATCTTATCATCCTTCTACTTCTGTTTTATTTAATTTTTCTGGGATTTCGTATTATTATATCCTCATATTATTAATTGATGGGAGGTTTTTTGTTTATATGGGGTGCAACATGACTTGTGTATGTCAATAGATGGGCTACTAATAAAAGAATGCAATTCTTCTGAGTATCTTAGTTGTTGAAACATCTCTTATTACTCTGAATGCAAAGTAATGTCTCTCATTCTGAGAATCTAATGGATCGTACAATTAATGCTCACACATGCTTAAGTTTGGGTGTGTGTGTGTATGGTTGTGAATTACCATCGGGCATTGGGTCTCATGTCATCACATTCATTTATGCAGTGCCTGAACTATCATGCAAGTGAAGCATTATATGGCATGTTTGCTCGAGTTTTAAACGTTTGGGTTTTGAGCTCTTTCCCATAATTTTTATGAATTAATATATTTTCATGTTGGCAGAATTTTCATTGAAAGTCAAATTTCACCCCTTGCTTAGATTTTATCTAATTTTTAACATGCTATGCAGATTTTATATCGTACTCGGCTTGCTATTGTCATAATTTTAGTAGTCTAATCTTTTGACAGATGTGCATTATCATTTTTTAATGGAATAAGGGAATATGTCACAGAAAAGCAGCATAAAAAGATTGTAGTGGGCACTCAAGCCAATTTGCAACAAATATCCTTTCTCTTGTCAGGGCATTCTTACTTCCCAGAAATGTTTTTTTGTGTAAATATGTGTATTTGCACCTCTTTTTTCTGGAATATTTGCTTATGACTTACAGTTTTCTTGGGGATGCACATTAATGGGTATACTTTCTTGCATGGAAATTTGCTCACACACCAATATAATCTGGATTTAATGGAAGTGTTTCCTTCTGAGAAGAACACTTTAAGAAAGTGCCTTGTCTGTCTGTGTTGTATATCTCCCACATCAAAAAGTGTAATTTCGATCAAGTAGTAGATACTCCTTTCATCATGTATCTGACATTCTTTTGAATGTGTACCTGTCACAAAAATTATTAACTAGAACTTAAAGGTCGGATACCTAAATTATATCTGCTTCATATGAGCTAACTTGTGGTCCACAAAAATTGTCTTGTTGGGTATAACTATCTTATGGCACAAAAGTATAAGTAATTGTTTAGAGTAATCATAAAAGATCTCTCTTTGGGTTTATTTCAAGGGGAAAACCGGAAAAGTAAGAAAAGTGAAGGTTTCATCAAATTCGGAAGCATGGGAAGATAAGAGGAATTATTCATAATTAGCTTTGTTTGCCAAGCTTTTCTATAATTGATAAGGCATGTGCAATCACTGACCCTTATGAATACAAGTTGGAAATTCTTGGCATAGGTAGAAGATTTCCTGCCGTAAAATAATGTCATCAATCATCATATGTTGTATTAGCATGTGTGTGTGTATATATTGATAAACTACACTGGTTAATGGATAAAGCATACATTTATTTTGCATCATGTCCCTGCAGTGTCTGCCTATGCATCTGAGGTTTCCTCACAGTGATGAAGGTTGGAATACTCCCAATGTTGCTATTGAGTGCTTATTTTCCATATTGTGTTGTGGTGGTTTTCACCTCTCAGGTGCTCTCCCCATGATGCTCCATGATTTACAAGAATCCTTCTTTACGTACTCTTTGAAAGTTCTTTAAATTTCTGCACCCTAGATGACGTCAGATAGATCAAATTATGATGACTTGGAAATTAACTACTGCTTCTTTTTTACTGTCTTCAGAGCAAGAGCGCTGCTATGAGTTGACGAAGGTTATATCCGCAGAACAGGTAATCCTACTTGTTACTGATTTGTACATTGAGCAAAGTACTGTTTCTGGTGCTATTTGTTTTTCAAAATGTGCTGATGGATAGTTTTTGGAGATTGGTCACTGTTCTATGCATCAAAGTCATTGCATTGAGCTGTTGCTGACGTTATACATGCTGTATATGATACTCTCAATTGTAGACAAGTGACCTTTGATGAAAAGAAATGCATATCTTTATGATCATAGTAACAGCCTAAGTTTTTCTTCATTCAGTAATTTAGGCTGCAATTTTGGTGCGGGATCCATAAAAACTACCAGCCTGCAAACAATGGTTCATGTGTAGTTTTAGATAAAACCCCAGATACATATCTTTATGGTCATAGTAATAGCCCAATGTTTTCTTCATTCAGGAATTTAGTGTGGGATCCATTAAAAACTTCCAGCCTGCAAACAAAATGATTCTTTTACAGTTTTAAATAAAACCCCAGATATATATCCCTGTAATATCTCCAGTATATAACTTTATAAAGCAGAATATGCTGCAATTTGTATAGACCTAGAAAGCATTATGTGCATCTGTGATACATGTGCTAATTTTAGGGGGCTAAAAGTGTTTAATTGATCCCTAAGGGAATTTGTTGTGGAATTTAAGTAGTTAAAAATAATAATTTGGATTGCCCCCAGTGAACCCTGAATTGGCTCAGAATTTACTTAATCACTTCATTTTGATGAACGTAGTTGTTTGAGAAGTTTATGCACATGTTTTTAAAATTTATTTTGAGCAACTGTTAGCTTTAAATTAAGCTGTTATTACACATTTGCTGCATCTTGTTGAACTTTAGCTGAAAGTAGCTTAAATGAGCCATAATAAGCTACTTTCGGAAAGCTGGTCAGCAAATGCTTTTGGAAAGCTAATTTTGGGATCTGCTTATTATTACAGTCACATGTTTTATGGTTGAATGATACAATCGTTTTTTTTAAAGAAATTGAGCATTGTGTCTTCTTGTATGAAATTAACAAAGTATCTAGGTGGTGTAATTTAATTGGCTACCACCTTCTTTGGAGGCCTGACTAGATGATCAATTAGTGAGCAGTTTGGTTATGAATTCCTTTATCAATTGTTTTTTGATTTGAACGTAGTTTTAAAATGGTGTTGAGTTTTCTTTAATATTTGCAAATTTCTCTTTGTGTGGATATTGAGAAAACAGATTTTCAATTGGGCTATTGAGGTTATGAAGTGTGTTATTGAAATCCGTGGAACTTAGTATCTCCGGTGCAAACTTAACTGGATTAGTTATTATCTTCAGTAAGTCCAGCCTTGTTGTTAGGGATGTCAGTGGACCGAAGCGGGGGCGGGGGGTGTAGTCTCTATCTCTGTACCCACTTAAAAAAAATTCGTCCATCCCCAGACTATCCCCATTAACGGGTATAATTTTCATTTCCATCCCCGTTCGCAGATAAATTTCTAATCCCCGCCCCCGTCCCCAATTCCCCTGTACCTGCCCAAGCCCAAGGTCAAGCTCAAGCCAACATAATACAAGCATTGTTGCAGAGGGAAAATAAAACAAATCCTTGTTCATATAAATATTTAGGATGACTTCATTTCAGAGAAAAGGGGTATAATCAATGTGGGGTACTACAGACCCATCCCCACCTTTTACACAAATTGGATTTTTATTTCTCTAAATCCGCCCCTACCCCGTTTAAAATCCTATCAAACCGATCCGACTAGGTGTGGGGCAAGGAAAATTGTGATTCTAAATCCCAGGTCCATTCCATGGCGCAATGACACAGTATTGTTCCAGTGGCAATGAATTTGAAATTTAGATGTTCTTTTTATTGTTGTCATTATTGTACTCAATTTGACAGTGTATCTTGTAATGCTTCAGAATACAACTAACAAAACTGAATTCCCGGTTCAGCTAACAAAACTGAATACAGCTATAAAAATTGAATGCTTTATATATATATATATATATATATATATAGTTAACAACTATAGCGGGGGCGGGGCGGGGCGGTAAGTCCATCCCTGCCTTCATTCCCACACGGATTTATACATGCATCCCCATATACGTCCACCGTCCAATACGTATGGTCCATCCTCTATCCAAACAGGGTGGGTTTGGACGAATACCCATTTTTCTCCGGTCCACTACCATGCCTACTTGCTGTTTTATGTTGGTTGGATTTTGGAAGGATAGTAAGGAATTCATTTGAATAGAATTAAGGAAATTGCGTGCTTTTTTGAATTCATCCCTGTTTAGTCTTTTTCTTTTCCATAATGAATTTGTGTCACTACTTCCCTACAATAACAGCTATGCATTCTATGTGACAGTTTAATAGAACTGAAAAGGTCAGCCAGAAAATTCTTTCAGAGAATTTGGAAATTATGCCTCAGTATACTATAGTTCATGCTGTCTTATCACCTCATCTAGTCTCTTAGGTTCGGGAAGCTTGACCAACCGTTGCTTGACCCGCGTGCTCCCCATATCTGAAATCAATAACGTTCACGTGGATTCATGTCACTCCCACTGGTGGGGTCATCTTGTGTCAATCAACTTGTTCCACCCCTACAACATCTACTATGGGTAATGCTTAATTTTTTGCTCAGTTGAGAAAAATCCTTAAAGTTCTAGATAAAAATCAAATCTCATACCCTATTGATGGTCTTCTTTTTGGGCTTATTTTGTTCAGTGAGAAACTATTAATCACTATGTAGCCTCGGTAGAGACTTTTACATTGAAGATATATTGGGCTTATGTTGGTTAGTCAAGCCTTGTCCTCCCACCACCTTTTATCCTTTTTTTAAAAACAAAGGAAAAGGGAAACAAAAAGAATGAAATGGAAAGGTTTTGGAAATTACGCTGTATTATAGCCAACTATATGAATTGATATGTATACTCATCTTTGAAATCCATAAATCACCAATTTATGCATTTGTTTATGAGTTGTTTTCTCCTTTAATTTGTCAGGAAAAGAACGGAAGTATCCAGAGGCAACTGGACACAGTTCTGTATTCAAAAAGGCAGAAGTCATTTAGGATTAATGACACAGCAACTTCTGATTCTTTGTCAGTTACATCATTGCAACATTCTCCTGGTATGCATCGTATGCTGTTTTTACACGGAGTGTTAATTCTGTTGGTTAGAATGAGTAGTCTTTGTTTTTGGCTAAAAGTTAGAATGCGTTGTCAATTTGAACATTTTTGATCTAGTGTTGAAACGGTTAAAATAAATTCCTTTTCCGTAATTAGATGGATCCATTTGGAATGAAGAAACTTTTGTTGATTTTATAGTCAAAGTTTGGTACTGAATGAGATAACTCATGCAAGACATAGATTGTGAATTTAGAGCAGTATTCTGATTTGGTTAATGTGTCATTAACCCAGCACTTTGGATGCTCAGGTCAATTTAGCCATTAAGAGGGATTCATACTGGACTGCCAAAGAAGAGTGAAAGAATGACTTTCATAGAGCTATTTTGTAGTTGTTTATTGCATTTGTTCACATGCATGAATTATGACCCAAATCCCACTTCTCCCGCAAGCTTAGGCGCATTTTTCAAGTTTAGCACCAAGCCAGATTGCAGGTCATGTTTGTTTATTACCCCGGTTTGTTTCTTTGCCCACCCGGGGTAATAGACTTGGTGCTCTTTCTGTAGTAGCAAGAAATCAAGATATTGCAGGAGATAAACTTTGGCATCCTAGTGAGACATGCGGAATTCCAATTATTAAAGTCACAGAATAGGCTTGATTTTACTTCTTTGATGTCATTCTGTATTTAAGATATATCTCATTCTCATCTCACAAAGATCTATTACTTGGATTGTTAAGCGCATGCAGGTCATGCTATATATTCATAAGATTGAGGCAAGTTTGGGATTGAGTTATTAGATCCTAGTCAAGTTTGCATTGTGATTAGCCTAAACTGTGGGGGTTGCATTGAGGGTAACCTGTTTTACTGTCACCTCTACTGTGTTAGCTCCCATTGGTTTGTCTGTTAGCTTCGTACCAAATAACGGTATTGCATTTTCCTCTGTAGTGTGCCGTAATAAGATTCTCTCTTCTTTTCATTTCTCTTTTCTTTCATCTTTCTTGTTGCTTTGATGATAATTAACAGGGGGCAATTGCATTAAAATATTTATTTGTGTTTTGCTTCCAATTGCAGATAAGCAAGCAGCTCAAAGTCCAGCCTCAGCAAAAGTAACTCGCCGTGTTGTACCAGCATATCGCAGGTTACCCCTGTATTTAGAATACATATATCACCATACCAGTATACACCTCACCTCACTGATTGAGGAAAATTATCTGTATATATATCATTTTAATAATTGAGGATCTGTTTGGCAGGGCAAAAGTCAGGGGATTTCTTTTGCAGGATACCGAAAATGATGCAGAAAATTAGAAAGGATATGACACCTTGGTTGCAAGTTTGGCCAGGAAAGATTTCTTAAAAGTACAGTTATCTCGTCTGTTATGCTGTTACAACAGATATCACGCCAAAAGGAAAGTGAAAAAGTTCATTTAGTACTTAGGGCAGTTTATCAAATAGGTTTTTTGTCAATCCTATGAAACCAGTTCATTGAGGATACAAATGTATGTTTGGTCATATTTCCACTGAACAAAATAAGAGAATTTGTACATCAGGATGTTGTGATGCATTTACTAAATTGTTGCTGCTTGTATAGTATATCTTTTGATGTGTTGGTTAGTTACTCGTTTATGAATGCAAATTAGAAGTCGATGCAGATTTGTCTTGTGGTTCAGTTGGATTATGTTGTCAAAGTTGGAAAACATAAAATGTTTTTGGCTCAGGAACATATTTCAATTATGTTGTCATTGTCGTACGCATGTTCTGTGTGTGTGTGTTGGGGGGGGGGGGGGTTGGAGAGACAATTAGTACATGGAATTGTTTCTCTTAATCAATCATCTGAAAGACCAGTGTACTTTGACAATCAGAACTAGATATTATTGACTTCAGGTTACAATTTGTGATCTTCCACTATCCTTTTGCTCCAGTTATAGTTTCAGCAGGGTTACCAGTAATTACATGCTTGTATCAGCATCAAAAACTGCACTGTCCCGTATTTGCAAATGAAGAATCTCCCAAGATTTGAGAATTTAGGTAATGCCAGCAGGCCCAGCACTTAAAACGGAAATATGCCGTACTTACATGATTTTATTTTGCATGATTCAACTAGGAAATCTGGCTCCATTAAAAACTTGTTCTTATGCTGCTAACATTTAGAAGCACCACCCCTTGTGTCTTCTTGATTTGCAGTTCTTGCCACGAAAGGACCAGCAACCCAGTGGCAAGCTAATTTCACCGTACCTAAATGAGAGAAGGAGACAAATGTTGAGTTTGTGAGTACGAGAGGTAGGTATATCAAGTCAGCCTACGATCGCTCTATTGCATCATGTAAGGTCCATTTAGGTACAGCATTAACATGAAAGAGTGCTTACATGTATTATGCCCATTGATTCATCTGAACCGGTAAGTTGCAGTTCTTTATTTACTCTTTAAGTGCCAGAATTCTGATTAGTATTTCTCTAAGATTTATTCATGGGAGATTTTTGTTTGTGGGTACTCAATATTTATTCTGTTATCCTCTCCCTAAAATCTGAGATTTATCCACCCCGTCTGTTCCATAATATGAATGGTTGCATTTCATTTGTGTGTTGGAATTATAAATTGAAAAAATTGGTGTAGTGGATTTGAATGCTTTCAAAATGATCTCATTTCATCCAATTAAGATCATCATTTGAATTGAAAGCATTCAAGAGTAAAAATGGGAAATGTGTCATTACAAACTCGCAGCTGCCAACTGTTTTTTGAAAAAACTTCATCTACCAAAGCACTATGTCGAGGATTGTGTACCACTTACCTCTCTTAAATCTTGATATAAGCGGGAGCCTTGTGCACTGAGCATGACCTTTTTTATCTTAATTTTAACTCCCCTTCCAATTAATAATCTTCGCAATTGATTGATTGAAACATACCTGTGTTCGCTGCTGTTGATGCTACTGGGGTTTCTGCTGATACTACTAGTATTCTCCTTCGGCCCTGTGACTAGAAATCTCTTTTTCCACCATTCTGTATCGACTGGCTTCTCAGATCCTCCTAATGTTGGCCTTGGAGAAACCTTAGAACATTTTCCTGTAGTTGATTTCTTCTTTGAATATAGAGGAATTGGGAGGAACATCTTTAGCAGGAAAACTCCACTCCCCATGCTTTCACTTCTAGATATTTGTCTCCTCTTGGACGTTTTTGTTTTCTTTTGCTTAATTCTGAGTTCGGTCTTCAACTTCAAACTCCTCTCTTCAATTACTAAACCCTGTTGGCCACCTTGCATGTTTTGCTGCTCATCCACTATATCTTTGAGAGAGAGTTCATACGAAAACTCAGGAATGTTCTCAATCATCTCCAGAAGTTCTCTTTTCCCATCTACAATTGCCTGCAACCGTGAGGTGGGGGATGGATAACTGTAATGGTGGCCAGACTCGGGGATGTTCTCAACCATCTCCATGAGTTCCCTTTGACCATCTTCAATTGCCTGCAATCGCGATGTGGGGGATGGATAACTGTACGTTTGCTTGTATGGAAGCAAAGGAGAAGCAACTTCATATCCAATGTTTCTTGATGACTTTCTCGTCCAGAAAGGTGGGGAATACACAATATAGTCATCTGCAATCTGTGTTTGAGTTTGGAACTCTATTTCATTGCCCCCCGAACCATCAGAACTCCCACCAGAGCTCTCGGAATTTTCGGTTCTTGGCGAGTTTCGAAAATCAAAATCTGTTGTTCTTTTGCTGAGATAACTGCTATTTGATTTATAAACTGGATTGAAAGAAAAGTGTTGGTTTCTGACAGGTTTTTGCTGGAGATCAAACATGGTCTAAGGAGAAGTGAGAGAATGGAAATGCAGATAGTGATTGTGGGGGGTGATAAATGGCCATATATACCATGGGAAGACTGAGTCAATGTCATTTTTCCACAGATGATTCAGAGTGGGGACTTGGAAGTCATTGCCATCTTTGATGGGAGTTCTAGAAAATGGGTCCAACTTTCTTCATGGTTCTTCCACCTTTGTGCCGGAAAGTTCTGTTTGCATATGACTGCCCTCTCTCATTTGTCTTGGAGGATTCGAATGGTAGAGTAGGACACAGGTTAATGATTCCTATTGGGTGAGGGTAGAGATAGACATTGTCAAGGATTCTTTCGAGGACTAGATTTTATTTCTCTCGATTCCTTGATCAAATATTGCGTATTAATAAAAGATCCATTTAATTAAACAAACTAGATCCACTTAAATTTATGGTGGATGGCAACATCAATTGATGATGACCTAGTTCAATAGGATGCTGGAGCTTGAGTAATTAGTACTTTTAGGTTCCAAATTTGAATCTCTCTTGTGATGCTGTAACCATGAATTTAAAAACCAGCCAAAAAAAAAAAAAGGCCGTGAATTTTAAAAAATGACGTGGTTGGTATAATTTTTATTGATAAGAAATAAGATTTATTACGCCATCTGATATTTTCAATAGTATTCTCTCTTTTATAGAGCAATTTTTTTTTTTTTTTTTTTAAGATTTTATGAAAATTTTAGAAAGTGAGAATGAAGTTTTTTAGATAACTCCAATGAGCTTTTGTTTCTTCGGGATTTTACCCAACAAAGTTCTCCATAACTTACTGACCGGTGAAAGGAAGGATCTTTTTGAAGGGATGGTCAAACCTATTGAAAATCTGGCTGTTATTAATGGCCTTGAAACTTGGAAATGAGTTGCTCGTCTTGAAGTTGTACTATTCTTTGTAGAAAAATAACCTTATAGTCAATAACATTTAATTAGGTGTTATTTTCTCATTCGTGAAACGTAGAATAAATTGGACTAAACTTTTCAAATGTGGAGAGATAAATTAAGTTCTCTATTTTAGAGCATCGCTAATAGTGCGATATATTTTAGTGATCCAATAGAATTTAGTGATGATTGGGGTTAGTCTTTTTTAGAAAACTTATAATGCTTCAAGTCATCAAAATTGGACAAGTCACTTAAATTTCCCTAGAATTTAATTCCAGTAGAAGAATAACTTTTATAGTCAAATCATTTAATAAAAAAGTGTATGTGTTATTTTTACATTCAAAATAATAAAATAGAGAGTCAGTTTTATTCTTCAAATGTCGAGACTTAAATTTGACTCTTTATTTTAGTTAGTTAAATAAAGAGCTTATTAGAAATGATTTTTTATGGGTTGGTTATCTAAAATAGAGAATTGAGAGAGAATAAAATTTTTTTTGAAATTAGCCATGTTAATTGAGCCGAGTTTTACAAGCATGAGTTCGAGCCTATCGAGCTCGTTTTTCTAAATAAGTCTAAAACATTGTTCAAAGTTGATTTGTTTAAAAAATGAGTTGAGTCCGAGTAACTCGACTATTTTACATATAATTGAGTCAAACTTTGTGAGATTGAACCGAGTGTGTTTAAATTCGTTTTTTTAAATGAGTCTAAAAAATTGTTTAAGTTTAGGTCGTTTAAAACATGAGTCAACTTCTATACGAATCGAATTTGAGTAGCTTATATTGATTAACACCCTTAATTAGAACTTAAATTTTCTTGACCTTTTGACAAAAATCTAAAATTCCAGCATTCAAAATCACAGAATGATACATATTTTCTTGTGGATTTTCAAATATCGATGATCTTGGTCAATTTTTCTCTGGTGACAAAATCCTCGAACTTCTTCACTGCTTTGCATGAAAGGCATAAAGTCGAGCCATAGGTCAGGTTGAAGCTTAAGACATGACAGGGACAGCTTTGGAAGATCCATACAATAGGGCATATTATGGGCGGCAAAAATTCATACGCAAGTAGTTACTAATTTGCTCCTCTCTCTTTGTCATTCGTTTAGGCCATATTGATTATTATAATCTAAATCTCATGCCTCAGGCTTTGGCAAATTTTGCTAATGATTAGAAATTTGCTTTAAAAAGTGTTTAGTCTGTGTCCGGATTCCAGTTTGTTTGTCCATATAGCTTGTGAAATTCTTCTTGCTGTTTTCTTATTTCCAAATACAAGCGATAGATAAAATTGTATACCTATAACACTCTTAATTCTGCACTGTTTGAAGGTTATTCTAACTGAGGGATTATATGGGTGATTGTAGAACAATGCTATTGAACCCTAATTTTCAAAATTGTGACCATTAAATTATCAGTGAGCCTCTGTTGAATGAAATATTATCAATTAAATAATTACAATGCATTGATCTCCAAACTAAGTTTTCAGACTTGTGTGAAAATAGCATTACTGGCGATCGTTTGTTCCTTCAACTACTGAACTTGGTTTGACTTTATCCTAAAACTAAATGTTTGGTATGTTTTGAAAAGAAAATGTTCATGTGCCATTTGATTTTGGCACAAAATGAAATAATATAAATAGTTTTTTTTTTTTTTGAGTAGTATAAAAAAATAAATTCGGAGGGCAAAGTGAGACAACTTTCTATCCAATTTGGTATGGGGTCTGCAATTTGGGTAATACAAAATGAATAAGTATAGTAGAAGGTTCAATGTGAAAAACATGACAGTTTAGGGGCAATTTGAGATAAGGTCCATTGTTGTGGGGTACAAAGTGTAATTTTCCATTTAAAGAAGGTCTGTGTTCAGGCTTGCGTCCATCTGGCCTGTTCATCGAAGGATTGACTCTATCTTCCATGGTAGGAAGTCTGATACATGGGCAGTCCTGCAGCCCATTGCAAGAATCAGTTTCTGGATATATATATATATATTATTAGGAAACTGAGAAATTATGTTATAAAAGCGGAAAAAATCGAAGGGTACAAGACGAAGGTTAGATAAGAAATACAACCAAACAAAAAAAAAGTACATAACAAAAGAAAAACATTAGAAACTCATAATTCGCATGAAGGATGAAGCTCTCCTTGTTGCCGAAATACTAAAAAGTAAGAAGGATAATTTCTGACACAATACGAAAATATGATTTAAAATTAATACGAAATTAGTGGGTTATGATTGATTATTTCTCAACACGAATCCTTATATGACACGATTTGTTAAGACGAATAATAAATAAGTTGAGTTAATGTCAAACACGAATAACACGAAATTGACACGATTAAATCGTTTAAGTAGTATTATAAAGATAAAACGTAATTTTTATTTTATTTTATCAAGTAGTAACATAATTTTTATATAAAAAAATATTTTTACTTATTTTTATTATTATATTTATTAAGTTAATTAGAAAAGTATGAGCATCGGTTCGATTAATTGAAAATAAAATTTTAGATATAAAACTGAACATTGAATTATTTATTCGCGGGTTATATAGGTCAACAGGACACAAAAATAACTAGATCAAAATAACACGACACAATTAATTAAGCGCGTTGAATTAGGAATGACTAATATTTAACACGATCTGATCCAATATGTCAAGACACGAACACGATCCGATCTGATCGAATACGACCAGACATGATTATCTTCCTACTAAAAAGTAGGATTCCTTAGCCCTTGAAATCCAAAACGACGCCATAAAATAAATATGATCCCATAAGCCAGCCAACTCCTCTCTTCTAATCTTCTATCATAAAATATTCTTGAATTGCTCACACAACTCCATGGAGTTGTCTTTTTATCACTCCGTTCAAATTTTTTAACTCTTCAATAAACAACCGCGCGAACGACACAGGAAGCACCCAATTCAAACTTGCCAAAGCAAACAACTTATACCACGTGGACAAAGCAGTAGGGCATTGTTAAAAAAAAAAAAAAAAAAGTCAAGTGTTCTTACCATCTTCTCTATTAGATCATATTTGTAATAGATTAATTTCATGGAATTCATTGTAAATATCAATCTATTTTGTAGTTATGATGCTATAAAAATTGAAGATCCAAAAGCGTCATTCAAAAAAAAAGATCAAACATAAAAACTACATTATTCACACTCCAAATGCACCTTCAAGTTTATGAAAAAAGTAATGACAGATACTTAAGATGAATATTTGGTAGCTAACTTAGGAGGATTGAGGTTAAATGGAATTTGGATTAATCCGTGTATAGCTCTTAGACATTTTTTTTCAACAGAAAAGATTTACTAAAACTATTTTGTATTTTTTAAAAACACAGTTTGAGTTATTATCGGATTCCTCTTGAGCAACAACATTTTTTATTGCTTAAGAGGACAAGTTTTTTGTTTAGTTTTAGTCTTAAAAAATCAGTAGTGACTATCTTATGCTCACTAATTTTCGTTAGAACAATCTCTTTATGACTTAGGGAACACAAAGAGAAAAGACAAAATGAAGAAAATCAAAATTCGTGGTAAGATAACCGGAAAGACTAGAGGACTCGTTAGTAAAGATAATTGAAAAAAGAATTACATGAGAAGAATTCCAAAGGCTCACAAGTCCACATTCTTTTGTCAATAAATTCAAGAGTCATATGAGAATCATTGAGCATAGTAAGCAAAGATATCAACTCCTCCATTGCCCTGTCATCAAGATTTCTATGGAATCCAAAGTTCCAAGAGTATGGATAATCATATGAAATAAGCGTAGAAGCAATTGAAACACCATTATAGAAAATGATAAAGATGTGGGAACAAATGGGACAAAGATGTCTTCCCCACTCAAGTATCCTCCCAAAGACAAAGCCTACCCCTATTACCCACTAAAAACTAAAAGATTATGAGAAAATCTCATCAATCTTTGAGATATCGATTTCCACAGACATCCAAAACTGCCCCTTTCAACCCTATTTAATTCTCATTCATTAGTCTGTAATTCATATTTGCTTTGGATAACTAAATGCTAAAAAGAATTTTGTTCTAAAGGAAACCTCCAAAGTCACTTGCCCACTAAAGTAATATTTCTTGTCATTAAATTATCAATCGA